AGGGGTACCCGTAAAACGATTTTAGGACTAAAGTACGTATCGCTAAAGTACGTAGGACAAAAGTACGTATGCAAATGTTCGTACGCAAATATACGTAGGCGCTAAAGTTCGTATGCCAAAAGTACGTACGCAAATGTTCGTACGTAAAAGTACGTATGCAAAGGTACGTAGTGCATAAAGTACGTATGTCAAAAGTACGTACGCAAATGTTCGTACGCAAAAGTACGTATGAAAAAGTACGTAGTGCATAAAGTACGTATGCCAAAAGTACGTACGCAAATGCTCGTACGCAAAAGTACGTATGCAAAAGTACGTAGTGTAAAAAGTACGTATGCCAAAAGTACGTACGCAAATGTTCGTACGCAAAAGTTCGTATGCAATAGTACGTAGTGTATAAAGTACGTATGCCAAAAGTACGTACGCAAATGTTCGTACGCAAAAGTACGTTTGCAAAAGTACGTAGTGTATAAAGTACGTATGTCAAAAGTACGTACGCAAATGTTCGTACGCAAAAGTTCGTATGAAAAAGTACGTAGTGTAAAAAGTACGTATGCCAAAAGTACGTACGGTTCGTATGCCAAAGCACGTAGTGTATAAGTACGTATGCTAGAAGTAGGGTATAGTAGTGTAAGTTGAGCCACTTTTTCTTTATTGCTGCCCTCTTGCCATACTATAGGGAACTCATGATAAATTCATATAGGTACCAAATAATATAGCTTTGTTCCTTTCGCCCATTTACTCATCGAGAAATTTTGCTATGCCTTGTAACAAATGCTCATTAAATAAAGAATAAGAAAGGTATTACACATTGATCAACTTACCCCATGGGTGGGGTACGTACTTTATACCCTACGTACATTTGCTATACGTACTTTTGTCCGTGACGTACTTGGTCCACACGCAGGGTAGACCGGGGCAAGTCGCCCCGCCGAGGTAAAACGCCTGGCGGCCTCACCGATATCTCTCGGAACTGACAGGGTTCTGGGGAAAGGTCCTCTCTTCTGTTAAACGTGCACTATATGATCATTCTGGAAAGAAATTGTGATAACTCTCTGGGAGATATAGCCAAAAATGTGTTGTTTTTTAGTGATTTTTATGTTTGGTCATCTGATTATGCATCCTCGCGTTCTTTTGTAGTCCACATCAGGTTAACGACTTTTATGCATTTTGAACAACTATTGTCTAACGCTTATAATGCCGGGTTGGTTCGTGTTAAATTATGTCTTGCTGGAGCGCAAGGCGTTGTTCGCTGACCGAACTACATGATGGGGTAAAACGCCCCAGTAGGTCGCGGGGCAAAAAGCCCCATGGGGCGTTTTACCTCATGTGTTGTTCGGACTACCCACTTCCTAATGTTCGGTAGCTGGCGAACAGCAAGTTTCTATGCATTTATGTGTATTTTTCTCAGCAACTGTATGGCAAAGGAAGTGTATTGTTAACTGATTTGCACAGTGGCGGCGGAAGCAGGGGGGCAAGGGGGGCAGCTGCACCCTAAAGCTATGGAAAGGGGCGCCTCGAAAATCTGTAGAGGAGGCAGGAAGTTAAGAGGTGCGGCAGCCATAAAGCTGAGCAGTGCGACACCGCAACTGATAAAGGCACTTGTGACACGAAGATGGTGGCAATGACGTGGGAAAAGTATCTTTTGATATGCTGAAGAGTGGAGGGCATCCTTATCTGAAACAAAGGCAGATGCTGCCGACCCTGTCGAATATAATCTTGCCAGGCGATAAAGGCTAGGAGGGCGCAGCCACTCGAGAAGCGCGCCATGCAGAAGAGGGGCGCCTGCATGCGAAAGAGGGGCGCCTGTGTGTGGGACGAAAAAGAAACATTTATGGAGACGCGTCTTTGAAGGCGATAGCCTCCGAACGCCAACACGAACATATGAGGGCTTATAGCGTTGCAGGCTCCATGCGACAAAAAGGGGCGCCTGATGGCCGATATGCGAGAGGAAATTAGTTTGTGTAACATTTATCGGGGACGGTTTGCCGTTTACAACATATGAATGTTAAGGGAGGTCCGAGATTGGGGCCTGTAAAATTGCACTGTCCGTATGGGCGGTTACACCCCTAGTGCTAGGGCGTATTTTGCGTTTTTTTACTGGGGAGATGATTATGACCAGGAATAGCACTCTGCAAACTTCTATGGGCGCCTGTATAGGGGCGAAACTGATTTTCCAGTGCAGGGACGGCCATCGGCATTGTGGGGCGGCATTCATTCCACTGGGGCGTCTGCCAGTGTTGAAGGGCGGGATTCATTTCAATGGGGCGCCCGTTGGTGTTGATGGGCGACATGTATCACCTGGGGCGCCTATCGGAGATTGGGGCGGCATTAATTTCACTGAGGCGCCTATCGGCGTTGACGGGTGGTATTTATTGATCCGGGGCGCTTATCGGTGGTATAGGCCGGCATTCGCTTCACTGATGTGCCTATCGGTGTTTTAAGGCGGCAGTAAATCCACTGGTGTCTGGGGCGCCTACCAGCGTCGAAAGGCGACATTCATAATTCATTTCACTGGGAGGCATATTGGTGTTGATGTGTAACATTCATTCTCCTGGGGCGCCCGGCAATGAGGGGGCGGCATTTATTCCGTTCCCCTGGGATGGGCCCCTATCGGTGTGGAGGCGTCGCCGTCGTATTACTTTGAAATGGGGGCACCTCTGAATGGTAGTAGATGCATTCATTTCGCTGGGACACCTACCAGCGTTGATTGCCTGTATTCATTCATTTCGGGCTCCTATCGGTGTTGAAAGGCGGCATTTATTTCACTGGGGCGTCACAAACCTGCTACTCCCACCATAAACCTCAGCCTATTCACTTCACGTTAGCAGTAACTAGAAGTCTCTTAGGGGGGATCCATAGGGGGAGGCTTAGTCTCGACATAGTCTCGGGTATCATTGCGTCGCGTCGGAGCGATTAGAAACCGGGTTCTAACGATCGAAATTTCGCGGCTCTAACCAACTTGCCGGGAGGACGGATGCAACTTAAACGCAATTTAAATGAGTGTTTTTTTTTAACAATTCTCTGTCACCGAGTTAGTGTTATGGATTCGGCGCCTTATTCACTAGTCCACACGAAGGTATTGGAACCGTGGAACTCTTTTCGATATGCCTTATTCGGAGAATCTTATGATATGGTGATGAGGTTGTTTCTAAACGAACATTATGAAGGTTACATTTACGCTATGGAATGTACCTAACTATTTCTCGTTACATAAAAACTGTAAATTCTGAACGTGTTAACAGGTACAACACATTGTCAAACGTCTCTTCACTGTTTGTGTTACTACAACCTTACTCGTATATGGTTAGGGGCGCCCAGCGGGAAGGGGCGCTTCAATATCGTTTGCACCCCTATCCTAGAATACCTTCCGCCGCCACTGGATTTGCATTGCAATAATTTATTATTTGGCCTGTGAAAAACCTGCTCATACAATAGTGTCATAGCTGAACACCTGATAGGATGGAAGATGCTAACTTCAGTGCCGTGCCTCCAGCGGTCAAACGGATCTCTCATATAAGATTTAGCCAACTACCATGTTTAATCTTTAAGCTAGACTCTAGAGTATGGGGCTTCTTGCCTCACGCCGTGGGGCCTTTTGCCCTGGTGTTGGGGCAAAATGTCCCATTTGCAGTTGCTTCACAAATCACTTCCTAGCTGGGAGTCCGATCATAAGTGAATGAATTTGAGGAGTGGAATTTAGAGTAAAATGTCCAAAGAACACATTGAGCACAAATTTGGCCTTCCAGGTGATGTAGCACAAAATTTAGGTAGGCCTGGTAGGCCTATGTAGCAAAATAGATTATCTGGGGCGTCTTGCCCAAGGTCTTTACCTTGCGTCTTTATCCTTCATTATACCCTACGTACATTTGCTATATGTACTTTTGTACGTGACGTACTTTTGTCCATACGTTTACGTACGTTATACCCTTACGTACTTCTGCCATACGTACTTTTGTCCGTGACGTACTTTTGTCCATACGTACTTTTTACCCTACGTACATTAGCTATACGTACTTTTGTCCATACGTACTTTATACCCTACGTACTTCTGCGATACGTACTTTTGTCCCTGACGTACTTTTGTCCATACGTACTTTTTACCCTACGTACATTAGCTATACATACTTTTGTCCCTGACGTACTTTTGTCCATACGTACTTTATACTGTACGTACTTCTGCGATACGTACTTTTGTCCCTGACGTACTTTTGTCCATACGTACTTTATACTGTACGTACTTCTGCGATGTGTACTTTTGTCCCTGACGTACTTTTGTCCATACGTACTTTATACTGTACGTACTTCTGCGATACGTACTTAAATCCTACGTACTTTTGCTTACGTACTTTTGTCCTACGTACTTTAGCGATACGTACTTTTGTCCGTAACCCCCGTAAAACACCGGTTTACTCGCCAGCCTTGGGTTAAATTGTTTTCAGTGTACACCTAACCACATACCACATGAGAAGGGCTTGCTTGACTTGCATGCTTTTCGATGCCTATAAACGTCTTTTTTCAAATAAATGTGTGGGATCAGGTATATGAGCTGATACCTTTAGTGTTGTGGCGTTGAAGCTAGGCGGCCAGGAGGACAATTAGTCTCCAACAAATTCACCAAACAAATCTGCAGCAATTATTACGGGGAAATGAATAACGGTAGCATCAAATGAACTGCCAACTTTCAGCGTTTCTGCACTTGGTGTATCTGTCATTGCGTGCGTGAAATTCGTGCCGGAGTGCTGCCGCGCCATCCATCAGCGGCAAATGACACCCGAGGGTAGCGCCGAGCGCTCATGCTGAATTAGATCCCGCGCTACTCATCACAACGCTACCTACAATGTCTCGTCGTAAAAGTTCGATTTCTGCCAACATTGGAGCACATTTTCATCTTTGTGCGTTAAACGTGTCTGGATGCATCTAAATTGGTGGGCTCGCTGATCTCTCGATGTTTTCCGCTCCGGGAGTGTGAGCCCCTTGGCCTGCCCATAAACCACGGCGGCTTAGAGCAGTCGCCATATATTATTGTATTTGTTACGATGAAGTATGACACAGTGCGCCAGCCAGGCTTACGCATGGCTGATCGTTTCAACAAATCACCACGCAACAGTGAGTGCTTTGAGTTTGTCAAAGGTCAAATTAACTCGCTGGGAAATTCTGTTTTTATTTTTGATACGCTTGGAGACGACATCGCACAATTACGGCAAGGTATTTATGTAACAAGGTGCATTTTTGTCCCCTTAGTCTCAATTCAAACCCTCAAAACATACCCAACAGCAATACCTCGGTGACTGTTGAACTAGACCTTACAGCATGTCCGGCCATTCCGCCATTTCACCGCTAGATGGGATCGGATTTGATTTAGACCTGTCTATGCTTCTCCGATCTGTTCCTGCTTTACCAGCTCGGTTAATCAATATCGCAGGAACTCAGTCCTTGATGTTGCTTGTTCCCTGCCGAGCTGACCCGCGCAATCGTCAGCATCAGCAATCATCGCTGGCTTTCTCGTCCCTCACCGGAGCTCTGTTTCGCCGCCCTAGAGCTGAAACCGAACGCCCTTTTCCTGTGAGGACGCGTCCTCCGGCTGAGTGTGTGTCTGACCCGAGTCGGAGCCGACCCTGTGTCGGCCCGCGGGCGACTTGGCCTCCCCGTCAGCCAGGTCCCGCGCCGCCGTCATCAGCAGCAGCGCCGTGTCCGGATCGTCCAGCAGGTCTTCGTCGACCGCCGCCGGCGCACTCCTCTTGCCCAGACCGAAGCCGTAGCTGGGCCGCTTCAGGACGTCCCGAGTCGGGCCCTCGAACCAGCTCCAGCTGCGCTTCCCCAGACCGAACCCGTACGTCGGTCGCTTGTTGGGAATGTCGTCATGGCCATTTCGTTTGCCGAGGCCGAACGCGTACTGAGACGCAGACGGACGCTTTCCAAGTCCAAACGCGTACGACGGCTGCCGCTTGCCGAGACCGAATCCGTACGTTCGCTCTCGTTTTCCCAGACCGAATCCGTAGGTTCTCTCGCGCTTCCCCAGCCCAAACCCGTACGTACTATACGGACGGCCCCGCTTGCCAAGGCCGAACCCGTAGGCGCGGTACGGACGGTTCTGGTCCCGTTTCCCCAGACCGAATCCGTACGTTCGGTCACGCTTTTCAACATCCTCCCCGTCGGGCTCCAGGTCGTAGGTGTCATCGTAGTTGTCGTCGAGCAGATCGGTGGCCAGCTGCTGGTTCTGCCCCAGCTGTTTTGCGCTGGCAGATCGGGGAGTGACGAGCGTCGCCAGAGCCAGCAGCGTCGCCAGCATCAGCCGACATGACATCATCTCCGGTCGCGGCCTGTCGGGGAGACGGAGGACGTCAGTTACCGGTCAGAGGTGCGGGTGTGTCGGCGGGGGGGGGGCAGGAATGGGGAGAAAGAGAGAGAGGGAGAGAGAGAGAGAGAGAGAGAGAGAGAGAGAGAGAGAGAGGGAGAGAGAGAGAATAGGGAACATAGTTACTTATTATCGGCTTCGCTGCCTCTTCCGCTCTACTTTTACAGCTGATAGTGAAGATCGCCAGAAAGGCAGTGTTGCAGTCTTTCTCCATTTGATTATTTTTTGGTTAGTGTAAATTGGTTACATTATCTTTTTTTTCATTTTTGGCGCCATTTTTCATTGCCTTATTCACGGAGCTAGGCAGGAAGCGAAACATGGTCCCCAGGATTTTGGGACTGCGATTCCCTACCCCACCCCTGTGATCCGGCCAGGCTAGTTAATTTCTTTACAGACGGCCTCAAAAAATGTTTATAGCATTCAAGAAAAGTAAAATCGTCAATACTCTTTCAAAATATGTTATTAAATAAGGTATCAATTAATCATAGATATGCACCTCGTAGCATTTTAATTTCACTATTTATTCACGACCTTTTAAAGTCATGGCGTAGTGACCTATTAAACCATTTTTTGTTACTGTTTATTGTTTTTGCGTTAGCGAGAAACTCAATACTTCATTTTCGTTTCGTATATCTGATCAGCTTGTTGACGCACAAAATATTGTTTGTGGCCCATTTAGCAGCAGGGTATCGCATTTATCCACTATTATGGCGTGGAAAAAGCACTTACCATAAACAAAACACGTACCGAAAGCAAGATTGATTGCTTCCTTAAGATGGTTGTTTGCAAGATTTTACCATATTACTCGATATTTTCTAGCAAAATTTTTACAAGTGCTGTAATATTCAATTGACTACAGAATGATATTCCAGCTGCCTAGAGTGGTAGGTTGTGCCGCATCACACGCGCAGAGTGACACCCTTTAATGTTGTGACCTAATGCTCACCATATGTAGATACGCTTAACTGTATGAAAAGCGGAATAACTTAGCATTCCAGTCAACTGATAGCTTTTGAGGAGTAGAACACAATTATCATGTCAGGTCACCCAGCCACTCAAGCTGTCACCCCGGAGGTATGCACTATGCACCTACAACAGTGAGCCGAGTTCATCCATACGTTGTATACCGCGCCCTGCAGTTTTCTCGGCGCCCGCGACGCTCCTGCCTGCCCCTCTGTCCCCTTCGCTCCTCTCCGACCCCATCTGTCCTGCACGGGCTCACTGTACCGTGCTGAATCCCTTTCTGCAGAGGAGATCGGCGGCCAAAGCCAGGCACCCCTTGGCAGATCCTTCTCTGTAATTGTCTGCGCTCGGCACTGACCACTTGTGCGTTTCCGCTCCTCAATCATTTTCTGCGCGCTTGAGGACCCTCCGGGCGGGGTCTGCCCATTCTCTGTGCTGCGGGCATTGCGCCTCTGTCATGCATCAGTGGAAATGCAGAACGGTACGTTTCGGTAAACACTGTTAGCACTGCACTTCAGCAGAGGTAGGCGTGCAGTGATGTGGGCTAGAGAGGGCGCAATGCCTATGCATCCGCGACAAAACAGCGCACACAAGCGATGCCATTTCAGAGGAATACTGAAACGAGAAAACAGTCTGTGGAGGCTAGCGGAACGACTGTATTATTGGACACATAATACTTACTGTTAAACAGTTACTTATTTCAGATAGATATGAATGCACTTTATATGAGAAAACTGTTGGCAGGAAATCCACTATCAAGGTATGTTTTGTTTGAATTGGTTTTATACTGCCCCGGAAGGGTTGAGGAAATGCCATATTGATCCGCACATCGTCATCGCCTAGGGTCCAGACGCCGTGGAGAATGTTGTAGATACTGCCGGCAATCGACGTTTTGCGGCGGACGGAGACCGCCCTCCAGTTCCCCCTGCGTATATAGGACCGTCTGGACCGCGGTCCCCAATGGAATGTCCTGAACAGTTACACGGCCTCTGCGGGGAGCGCGAGAGCCCATCGGCCGCCGTCGAGCTGTCGTCGATACGGGAGCTCCATTTACCACCGCCGCCGCCTGCGGCTGTTGGCACAACTTGCCTCATACCGGCGGCCGGGCAGTGTGGTCACGCGCGGCCGCGGTGCCGGTCCCGCGGACGGAATCGCCCCCCCCCCCCGTTCCCCCCGCTCGCCAGTAATGTGATGTCGCGTCGGAGACGGCGCGGCGACGACGCGACGCCGCCGGCGTCGACGGCGCGGATTGGCGATGCAGCGCGCGCGGCCGGCGGCGGCTTGGGGAGCGCCGCGGGACTACCTGGGCCACTGGGGAGGCCAGCCGATCGCCACCGACACATCCTCCGCGGATGCGTGAACAAATGACACATAAGTAGGCGGGCCGCGTGGGACCGCGCAGACCATGCTGTCAAAAGTGGTCACGTGCCACGTCGGCTGTGCCTTACATTTTCTGGTGTTGGTGCGTGACTGGACGTCCAAAAAGAAACGCCATTTCGACTCTGTATTAGGTTAGTTTTTAGACGGACGGCTGTGAAAGAGAAACAGCTTGAGGATGCCATAGACGTTGTGGGTACAGATCCCTGTCCCAGCTGCGGCCTGTTTAAAGAAGTGCTAATAATTTACCAGGAAACTAAATCCGAATTACTCCATCGCCATGAGCTTCGAATATTCCGTACAATATTCAAGTGAAGTTTGTTAATGGTTTATTGTATTATTTATTACATAAAAACAGAGACCAATAGCCCTCAAATGGCAGCCCCATGTATTGATTGCCTACGCTTTCATTTACTAGTTGTCAGCCGCCTCATCAGTTGGGATCATGTGAGATTAAATACTGAAGTGTGTCTCCGTTCAGCTTACATACACGCAGCAGTCTCTTTTACCAGCCACCGATGTCGACCATTCAATTAGGAGAGGCTTAGGTACGCGCACGTCCTTACTTCCCGAGTTAGTGACCTTGTGCTCCTTGAATTCACCATTGTGCTCAGGATGTATGTATGGTAGCAAACAGGAGAGCAGGATGCCAACACTGCATGGTTTTAGTTCAGCTATCAGTTTCTTAGCTTCCCTTCCAAAACGAAGAATAATGTTATAAATGCTGATTTGATTAGCAATGTTGGCTTATAAAACAAGAATTTTTTTAGGGTATGCCGGTTTATCAATTTCAATAGTTGGGAACATGCGAGTGTAAGAATAAAATATATTTTGAACATAAGGCATGTATTGTCTGCAACAAAGCGCTTTTGAGATTAAGATTTGAACTTCTATTATCATTCATACATACATACATACGCATCCAACACACTTTGTGTCGTGTCTTTTTACAGTGAAACGTTCCCTGTGCGTCAAGTTTCCTGAGCAAACTGCAATATTTGCATAGATGAATTTATGATTAGATCGAAGTCCCACTGACCTTTTCCGAACTAGGAACAATAAAACCGCTAATTAAAGGAAGCGGAAATCAAAAACAGTTCCAGGCACATCTTTGAATAAACGTTGTCAGTAAAATACGCGAAACCGCTTCCAGACTTGCTCATATGCGTCGTCATTCTCATGGTGCTAAGTAATAAAACGGCAAATGCTAGCCGGTAGATGTATGTACATATTAGCAAATACAAGCATTGTTTAACCATACATTGTGTAACCATACATTGGTAGACCTCTGGTCTACGATTTAAGAGGTCTGTAGTTTAACCACTAGCCTCTGTATACCGTAAGCAGAGCTCTATGATTACGGAGCGAGCGAAGCGAGCGGAGTCTTTCCTTAGATTAACGGAAATTTCTGAGTATGAGCGGCCGGCCGGCCGGCCGGCCGGCCGGCCGTGGGGACGCTCTTCAAAAGCTAATATCTTAGGAACGGGACATCCGATTGACAAGCGGTCTTCTTTACTGAATGTCACTTGGACGTAAAAGTTATGTGGTGTGATGGCCACCATGCGTTCTTGCCAACCACCGCACGTGGCGCGTGGTAAAGTTGGACATTTTTTAAGAACCCCCAAAATTGCAACCTCAATAACGGCACAACGGTTGGGCCGATTGAATTGAAACTCGGTACACAGTTAGGTCTCCATCAGATAATTCATCTGCATGTGTTAAGGTTGGGGTGCTGCTGCACGTGCGCACGTGCAGGGGTCGTTTCCAGATCTCGAGAACGGCTGGACCGATGGCGCTCAAGTTTGGTACACGGTTAGGGACCAGTTAGTAGGGTGCCGTGCACAAGTCAGTTGGGACCCATTTTGCACGTGCGCACGTGCAGGGTGCCGCTTCCAGATCTCGAGAACGGCTGGGCCGATTGTGCTCAAATTTGGCACATCGCTAGAGACCGGTTAGTAGGGTGCCGTGCACAAGTCAGTTGGAGGTACCCCCTCGAAATTTCGCACGTGCAAGGCCCACCCTCTCGCTCGCTCCGTTAGTCGCCCCATAAGGCGTTATACTGGTTTAACATATTTTCACAAAGAAAGCGTTATGATAAGCGGATTAGATCGACGGAATAGGCATTTAACAGTATTAGGACTCACACGCGTAATACATATAGCATCTGCACTGCAGCGTTACACCAGGCTTTACGTATCACAAATGTGCCTAATTTTGTTTAGTGAGAAAGGATTGCATTTCTGATTGGAGACGGCTTCAAACGCGCTTCTTATATAGAGTGGTGACTTTGGTGACATTAGCTGTTTTCACGACGGCCATCTGGTACACATTTGGTGCACATTTGGTGCAGATTAGGTGCAGATTTGGTCAAATTAGGTTCAGTGTGTCTCTTAGTAGCTATCAGCTAGGGCTGCACTAGTTGTTTATATCCCTGCTTTGTCATATTATCAGAGAGTATCATCGATTAAAACACTGAAATAAATTCATGAAATAAAGATATTTGCTGTAAAAGAGATAAGCTGCAGATTTGGTCAAATTAGGTGCACTCGCCGGATAGCCCGTCGTGAAAACGGCTATTATTAGAGACTGTTATAAACACAGGACACATAATTTGCCTGCTTTAGA